CATCAAGAATTTATCATATATCATATATATAGTGTAATATATATATTATTCATATATATTATGTATTATATATGATTAATATTATTATTATATTAATATTATTATTATATATTATTCATATTATTATTATATTATTATTATTATTATTATTATTATTAATATTATTACTATTATTCATATTTGGATTATTTTTATTACTATTATTATTTATATTATTTACAGGTGAAAAATTTTGTATTTTATCTTGAGAATATGTGTTCTCCTTATTATTTCTATTTTTATAGTTAAAATCAATTTGTTGAAAAAGACTGTTGTTAGAGTAGGTATAATCCTTTTGATACAAATAGTCATTTGTATAGCTAAAATAAAATTCTTTTCCGATTGGTAAAACAAAAAATATTTTAGTTGTACGCAAAATGATCTTTGAAACAACATTCTTCCAATGATTCGGATTTGAGGTATAGTTGTCATCATTTTTCAAAATTAAAAATAGTTTTAACTGATTTTTGTGAATCTCTATAAATTTTATAAAGCTTGATATTTGAATAAACTTTTTAATTCCATTTGCTTTGCTAATGAAATCCTTTGCTCTATCCTCCTGCATCAACGATTGGTTTCTTTGTTGGGACAATGAATTTGATGATGGATAGTGATGAATGAATTGTTGTATTAAGTTGTCAATAAATCTCCTTTGTTGGTCGAACGCAAACTCTGAAATTAATAAAACTCTTTTAAACCATGCATCACTTGAATTATCTCCTTGACTTGGATATTCATTTAGATTTAACATTTCTCTACACAAGTCGCAATCATAACATTGCATAGCAACTTCATGTCTGTATAGCTTTTCTTTGATATCATTCTTTAAAATCCTCATGAGTTTCTTTTTTTCATACTGGTGGTACGAGTCATTTGAATTATAATGATTCTCTCTAAAGTATTGAATTTGTGGGACCACAGCTTCTATTTTTGACCTTAAAGATCTTCTAATTAGTTCTGATTTAATTTCATTTAGACTAAATGTTTCAATCCATCTATTATTCGCTCTAAATTGTTTTTTTCCTGCAATTAATAAAATTTGATCTTTAGTCTGAGGCATATTTCCATCATCCATTTCATTCATATTGGCATCAGAGTTGACATTATTCATGTTATTTTTACCATTTGATTGTCTAGTATTGTCAAAATTATGTGATGGTATATTTTCATCATCATCATCATTATTATTATAACTGTATTTATTATAGTTATTATAGTTATTATGATTATGATAGTTTCTATAAATACTATTGTTATCAAAATTATTACCTCTTCCAATAGAACTGTTAAAGCTATTAAAACTGTTATTTTTTTTTTGGCCGGGCAAAGTGGGGGATGATGAAGCAAGAGAAATTGGCTTTGTGGCTGTTGTTGTATTTAATCCATTACTGTTACTATTTATTTCCATTTCATTATAATAACTTTCTAAACTTTCATTAGTATATTTGTTACTACTGTTGTTTCTATTGTTATTATGAATATGATTGTTTATATTACTAACAATGTTATTAGGATTGTTTTTATTATTATTCATAATTTACATGTTTTAAAAAAAAAAAAAATTAAAAAATAAAATTTTTTTTTTGAATATTTAAAATTTTTAATAAAAAAATGAAAAAAAAAATAAAAAAAAATAATGTAAAAATAATAAAAAATAATACTTTTTTGGTTACTGTTTAATTCTTTTATTTATTTGGTTTTGAGGGTGAGGATATAATTGTAGTTTCATTTAAAAAAATTTCGTTAATTATTGATATTTTTTTATAATCTATGTGAATATCATTTGACCAACATGTTATCATTAACAATAGTTGTTCTCTATCTTCTGACACTAATAAATTATCTACAATTTGATTTTTATTTTCTAAACTATTTATATACATTGTTATTATATCTTTTAAATATTCGACTGTTGTTTTTGTTATTTATAAATATTATTATTATTATTATTATTATTATTATTATTATTATTATTATTATTATTATTATTATATTTATTTATTAATAGGGTTAATAGGAGTATTTTTAAGGTAAATAAAAAATAATAAATTATAATATCTTACATAATTTTAATTCTAATTTTGATTCGTATGTCGTTGGATTCTTAGGTATCCTTATACTATTTAAACTTTCTTCCATTTTCTCGCAAATTGCTTTCTTTATAATTTAATATATAAAAAAATCTATTAATTAATAACCCCCAAAACAAAATATAATTAACTGACTATTAATAATAGAAACATACCAACTCCAATAAAGTTGAACTTAATTTTATATATGTTTGTTGAAGATCATTGAATTGCGTTTCTTTAAACTTGATTTGTAATTCTATATTATCTTTAATTGAATCGTTGTAGTCGTATAAATCTGTGTATGATAGTTTTAAATGCTTATTTACTAAATCGCTGCATAATTTAGTCCCTTTATCTCTAAACGTATTCCATTGATTTGATAAACTTTTAAAATTTTCATATGTTTTAATAATAATCATTTATTTCAAAATAAATAAAAAAATAAAAAAAAAAAAATAAAAAAATAAAAAAAAATTATTATTAAAATTTAAAAAAAATAAAAAATAATTTAAAAAAAAAAAAATCAGTAAAAGCAAAAAAAAAATCAAAACATTCATTAATTAAAATGAATGGGTTCAAATATAGCAATTGATGATATTAAGAGAGACGCATTCAATAGGATCGTCGAACATATTGGAACATTTTACATAATAGACAACCCGATGAATAGGTTAATCATTGCCAATTCCACAAATAGATACACAATAACTTTTTATGATAATGGAAATGTATTGGTTCAACCCCCAAATCTAGAAATTAAAAAATGTTGTATTGATAAAAATTACAAAAAAAGTAGCGATATTAAAACCACCACAGTATGTAAAAGACACCCCCAAACCAATTTTTTATTTTAATATTAATATTAAACTTTTAGATTTTACAAAAAAGAAAAATAGACGATCACTTGGATGAACCTATTAATAAAAAAAAACTCATAACCGACTATTTCCCCACAACTTACACCAACACTAAAACGACCAATAATAAAATAGATGGCAATATAGACAATTGTAATAATATAGATAATAATGCAAATATAATTGTTGATATATCACCCCCTCTTTCCCCTCTTTATTTCGAACTACCACCAACCAAAGGTAATATTCAAAAAGAAACTAAAGCACATGAAGAAATTTCCAATAATATAGATATAAATAGTTTAGAACCATCACCACCACTTTCACCATTAACATTCGAAATCGGTGTCAAAACCGTACAAAATAATATAGATAATACAGATAACAATACAAATAATAATAAGCCAAAAATTTTAATTTTATATAGCGAAAATAATAAAAATTCAAAAAATAAAATAGTGGAAATAATCAATGATTTAAAATTGTACGATATAACCACCATAATAAATAGCAATAAACAGTCAAGCTTATTCCCATTAAAAGAAATTGAAAACAATGCACCAAATCATCAATGTACAATTATAATAGTATCTAAAGATATGATTTCAGATTCATTGTTTTTGACAGATTTAGATGAAAACGATGAGCCTTTAATTCATAGATATGCAAGCCCACAGGTTCAATTTATTTTCGAAATTGGTTACATTCTCGGCTTGATCGGAAAAAAAAGAGTAATATTTTTAGAAATGGATGAATATTATAATCAAAATCAAATAGACTACAATAAAAGCTTAGAGTTTCAAAATATTATATCAAGCTTTAACAATGATAGTATTAATTTTTTATCATATAATAATAACAACACCAATAATAATAATAATGATATTTTATCAAACACAAATCAACAACTTTTTAACTTTATAAAATCTATTGTAGAAAAAAATTTAAACAAAATAATATAAATATTTTCTTTAAATAAAAAATGTAAAATATGGAAATAAAATTGAATAAAAGATTGTATTGTTATAAAAAATAAAAAATGAAAAAAAAAAAAAAAAAAAAAGGTTTATTTTAATTTATTTTCTTCTTGATTTCATTTCTTGGATGTGAGCTTTTTTTAAATCCCTTTCAGCTTTATTAATTTCATATCCATATTTTTGCTTGACTGATAAATCTGGACCCATCATATATGCAGTATCACTATTATCCGTGCCACCATCTGAATTTGTTGATTTATATTTATTACTAATAGAATCTCTAAGCTCCTTATCTGATTTTCTTTTATATTCTTTAATTTCCTCTTCTGTCATTCTCCATAGTTTTAATGGACCCTGTTTTTGTTTTTTATCTTTATCTGCTATTGATACACTTGTTGTTGATGGTTGTTTTTTATTTGATTGATTTGGTAAAGATTGTTTTTGTTGTTGTTGTTGTGATTGCTGTTGTTGTTGTTTGTTTTTTCCTAAATTATAATTGATTCTTGATCCATTCTCTTGAATTAAATTTAAATTTGAAAATTGTGAAACTAAATTAAAAATATTGGTTTCATTTGATTGAATATATTCTTTGGAGTTTGGATCCAATAAAACATCAGAATCCTTCTTTAAATCTTTTTCGGTCTTTTTAATTTCTTCAATTAATGATTTTTTATCTTTGAATGATTTTATATCGCTTGAATCATTTGATATGGATGATGGTTGATCTTTAGAAGTGGTATCTGATTTAATTTTTTTAATTTTATTTGATTGTTGTTGTGTCTGTTGTTTTTTCTTTTCGATAATCTCTATTAAATCTAATTTGATTGGTGGTAAATGATAATTATTATCTTCAGTATGAATATTGACTTTAATGTGATCAAAAACTGATAATACAATTGGTTCTGAATGTTTTGAAAGGTGAATTTTTAAATTTAAATCATTGAAATCGATTTTGGTGACACTACCATATGACTCTGGGAAAACAGTTCCTGGTGAAACGAGATACTCGGACTCTTTAATTAGGAAAACTCTTGATCTAAGACCAAATTCTGGAACATATACAACAATACCATTGGATCTAATATCGGTGATGATAGCTTCCACTTTTTCTTTTGGCTTTAATTGGAAATATAAACTTTGGAACAACTCGGTAGCATCTCTTTGAACTGTCTTTGAGGCTCTATGTCTAATATTAAGGTGATCTGTTAAATTTGTCATTGAATAGTTATCGTATGGGTTAAAATTACCAGGTTGACCATTTTGAGTTAATGAGTTCCATAATTGTCTATGTACTATGATATCTGAATAACGACGAATTGGTGATGTGAAATGTGTGTATTTATCAAGTGCCAAACCATAATGGTAGAACTCGTTTACATTAATTGAACCGGTAGAGAAATAAACAGCTTCTGATACGATATTTACTGTTTTTAATTTTAAAATTTGATTGATGAAATGGTCATTGCTATCCTTAGCTTCACTTAATGATTCTGCTAATTCTTTATTTGTTTTAGTGTTTAAATCAAAACCCTAAACAAAATTAAATTAATAAACTGTTGTGCTTTGAAATATAAATTATAATATACTATTGTTACTACTTACACATAAATTAAATAAAGGTTTAATTGATTCAAAATTAATTTGGTTTGGTTTTGGATGTCTACGAAGTAATGATGATGATGGAAATGATGAATAAATTTTTGAAGCTACTGATGAATTTGCTAAAATCATGTATTCGGCAACAAGAGAGTGGATCTCTAAATCATTTTTTAGGACAATTTTTTCTGGTTTACCTGGAGCATCTTGATTGAATTGAAATCTAACCTCTATACTTTCTAAATCCAATGCACCATTATCTTCACGATTCTTTTTTAATAAACGGAAAATTGTACGTAAATTGATCAAATCCTTTTTAATGTCACTAATTTTTAGACCATTGAAAACACGATTACGGTAGCCGGCATTCTTTCCGCCATTGGTAACATCGGTATCTTTATCTTTTCCATCTACAACAACACCATTAATAATATCTTGAGCCAATTGGTAATGAAGTTCGCCTGATGAATGAATAATAGTACGACCAAACCATGTATTTATAATTTCGCAAGTTCCTCTCTTAAATTGCCAAATGCAACTCATTGCGCAACGTGGAAAACCTCCTCTGAGTGAACAGACATCCTCGCTAAGTACTGCTGGTAACATGTCAAAACGACGATCTGGTAAATAGATTGTAGTGCCACGACGACGAGCTTCGATATCTAATGCTGAACCCTCCTTTACAAAAAATGATACATCAGCAATATGAACCCCCACTTCAATAATATCGTCGGATGGATATCCAATAGAGATTGCATCATCAATATCTTTACTTCCCAATGGATCTATACTCATGGTGTGATGGTCATTAAGTACTCTACGATACTTGAATTCTTCTTTTGGTATTTGCCAAGGTGCTTCTTCTGACGACTCTGGTAAGCATTTTAATATAGATGTTGGCCATGGTTTTAATGAGATGTCGTGCTCTACCATCAATGCTTGGAGCTCAGTCTCTAGACTACCTGACTCGCCAATTGTAGAAACGTAATGGCCCATTGGAGATTTCGAATTTAGATCCCAGTTATCGATTCTAACAATTAATCTTTTACCAATATATTGAGCTGGGTTTTTTGTTGGTACTTTAATGATTGGTATTCTCCAATCGAATGGCACGACCATCACAAAATTTGTAAATGAATTGGTATTTTTTTCGACAGTACCAACATAATCTCTCCAATTTCTTTGAAACACACCAATAACTTTACCTGTTGGGATTTTTAAGTCTTGATTAGAAACTTTGTTATTTTCTTCTGAATCTAAAGCTCCACTGGGCTCTTGTTCTTCCTCATCTGAATAGTCTAATTTAATTGATGAATCATAGGGTATCCACTCAGACTCTGGTAAAAGAGCCACACCAACCTTGTCCCCATGAATCGAACGATTTTGATTAAATTTACCAATAATCATAACCTTATCTCCATAAAAGCTTGCATTAGTTTGGTTGGTTGCAATTCCTGAGGAGCTTGATATCTTTACGAATGCCTCTTCCCTATTGTGTGAATTGTAATGTATTTTACCACTTACAATATTACCAGACTTTAACTCGGCCTGTAAAACATCGTCATTTAAATATCTAGTGAACAATGTATTTGAAGCTGAACCATTGGTTGTATTCTCTAATTGTTGTTCTTTTTTAGCCTGTAATAATTGTGTAATTGAATCATATAACTCTAACAACTCTTTATTATTATTATTATCACTGGATTTTTTATCACCATTTAATAACTCCAAGTACTCCAATAAAGATACCACATTCAGTGATTTTGATTTTGCAATATTATATAATGAGCTTGATTCGTCTGATGATGGATCGCCACACACCAAGACCACTCTATACTTGGATGAGTCAAAATGATTTGTATACCACTCTACTGCTTTACAGATTAATTTATTTTGATGGGTTAACACTGAATCTTGATCATTTCTGTCTAAAAATGTTTCTATAAAAAGCTCATTACTAAAGAAGCAACTACTACGTTCTGCAAGATTGACGAATGACTTTACTCTTTCGAAATGCTTTGGTCCAGAATTATATTGTACATATTTATAGATGGTCTCCAACACAACTATATTTCTTAAAGTTGTATCTGGTAGTTCTAAAACTTCTAAATAGTCTATAATCGTCGAAACATCTGGAATAATGATATCTTGTTTTACATTTGATGGGCCCATCTGTAATAATAACTGATTACCCTTCAATGACTGGCTATCGACATCTTGATTAACATTTGCTACATTGCTCTGTTGCTGGCTATTAAGTTGCAATAGTATATTATCTTTACATTTTTCACATTGATTATTCCTACAAGTTATATCATTTCTTAAATACTGTTCTTTGGATATATATGAAATTCCATCACCAGATGCCAATTTCTTTGGAAAAAATAATGTAAAAGATTCTTCTATCTCCTTATTTATTATACCCCTTTGATTTATATCATTATTATTTAATATTGTCATATTTTAAATAAAAATAAAATAAAAAAAATATAAAACTGGTGAAAAATATAAAAAAAATTTTAATTAAAAAAATAAAAAAATTTGAAAAAAAAATATTTTTTTTTAAAATTATATTAAATTGAAAAAAAAAAAAATTTATAAAAAAATAAGCAAAGAAATATGAAGAAACTAATGAAAGTAATCGAAGATATCAGGAAAATAAAAAAAACATGAGCAAAAATATCGAAACAACAACAAAAACAATATTAGGTGTGTGATCACCCATGAACCACAACAGGTTGTCTACCTATAAAAATTAGGAAAAATAAAATTTGTATATTGTGATGTATGTTATATATACTTTTAGTTAATAAAAAAACAATTGAACTATTTTTATTATTTTTAAAGAATCATAGAATGCAATCATTATATTTGAAAAAAAAAAAAAAAAAAAAAAAAAAAAAATTTCTTTAAAATTTTTATAAAATTACATTTATATGGAGTTAATTAAAATTTATAATAATCACTTAATTTTTTTAATATTTTACTTTATTAATCTCTATAATTATTAATTTGATTTTGATGTAGATTTTTTTTTTTATTTTTTAATTTTTTCACTGCAAATCAGAAAAAAATTGCTAAATTTGATTATCAAATTTTTTTATTTTTTTTTTTCTGAATTACAAAATTGTCTTTTTTATTAATTAAAAACAATGATGACATCTATTGAACAAATAAAGAAAAAAATTTAGTTTGTGTTTAAACACTAATCTTAAAAAATTTTAATTTAATTAAAAAAAAATTTTTTATAAAACTAATTCAATAACCCCACATTAAATTTTTATTTTTTTTTAATTTTTAATTTCATATACCACATAAATTTTAATTTTTTAATTTCATTTTTTTTTTTTCTTCACTCACTCTCATAGCATAATCTTTTTTTTTTTTTGTAAATAGTAAAAAATCTTTGTAAGTATAATCTAATTTTTATAATTTTATTTTTTTCACACACCATATTAATTAATTAAAAAAAAAAAAAAAAAAAAAGAAAAATGTTTGTTTTAATAATTGCAGTTATTTCAATTTGTTTATTATTTTTTATCATCAACCATGGCATCAAAAACAACAACAACCCACCAAACCCACCAAACCCACCACAACAACAACAATCAAAACCAACAATAACAACAAT